GGCAAATTGTCCTGATAAACTATTGGCCCAGCTAGAGATATTTCCAGCTCCCATCATAATTATAATATCTCCCGGCATCGCTTTATCCATAATAATTTTTGGTATATCTGCAGGAGACGCAATATATGAGGCCTTCGAGTGGGCACCGATACTTTGAATTTGATTCACTAAACTTTTACCAGTTATGCCTTCTATCGATTTCTCACCTGCTGCATATATATCAGTTATATATAGTTGATCCGCCTCACTGAAACAAGTAACAAAATCATTAAATAAGTATTGCACTCTAGAGTATCTATAAGGCTGAAAAATTGCTATAACTTTACCATTTTGTTTATCTGCAATATTTCTAGCAGTTGTAAGGGTAGCTTTGACTTCTTCCGGGTGATGAGCATAATCATCAATTACTGTAGCCCCATTATATTCAGCAACTTTGGTAAACCTTCGTTTCACCCCTTCAAAATTACTAAACCCATCCTTAATAATTTTAATACCAAAATCAAGTTCTACAGCTACCGATATAGCTGCTAAAGCATTCAGTACATTATGTCTGCCTGGTGCTGGTAATGTAACTTGCTCTATAGTTATAGTCCCGTTAACATTAGGGAGGTTAATTTTTACATCAAATGTAGATGAGCTAATACCAAAATCTAAATTAAATGCTTGTACATTGGCGTCTTTAGAGTCGATACCATAAGTGATAATTTTACGATCTAGGATTTCATCCACTAAATTTCTTACTACCTTATGGTCAATGCAAGCAACTGCAAAGCCATAGAATGGCAAATTAGTTACAAAACTTTTAAAAGCTGCAATTAAGCTATTAAAATCTTGATAGAAATCTAAATGTTCATGATCAATATTAGTGATTACTGCAATTGTTGATGGTATATGGATAAAGGTGGCATCTGACTCATCAGCTTCTGCGATTAAATAACTCCCTGATCCAGTATAAGCATTAGTAAAACGGTTATTAATAATACCTCCATTAATAACTGTCGGGCAAAGGCCAGCCGCTTCAAATAAACAAGCCACAAGCGAGGTAGTAGTAGTCTTACCATGAGAACCTGAAATTGCTACAGAACATTTTAACCGCATCAATTCAGCTAACATTTCAGCCCGTCTAATGACCGGTATCTTTCTACGCAACGCTTCTTGAATTTCAGGATTATCTTTATTGATCGCAGTGGATACTACCACATATGACACATTAGGGATGTTCTGAGCATGATGGCCAATATAAACCTTAATTCCACTATCTTGTAATCTTTTTGTGTTATAATTCTCAGCGATATCAGAACCTTGAACTTTATAACCAAGGTTATGTAATATTTTAGCGATTCCACTCATACCAATTCCGCCAATACCAACAAAATGGATAGTATCAAGAGTACCGTTTATTTTTTTTAGCTCTAATAGAATCATTTTCTTTCATTAATAAAATTGATAGTGTGTTTACTATAAATGTATATCATTAAGAGTAAACCTAATAAATGCTAATCTTTCATTTTATTAGTTAAAGCTGGGGGAAAAAAATCCCCTTGCATACCATCAACTTTTAAATCGATCAGAGATTTAGCTATTTCCCCGTTTTCAACAAATTCTGCTACCGTTATAGCGCCTACCTCTTCAGAAATTTTTATCAATCTGGCAATAAAATCTTGAGATTGTGCATTACTGGTAATATTACGTACATAGCTACCATCTATCTTAATAATATCTATTGGTAAGTTTTGTAATTGATCAAAGGAAGTAAAACCACTGCCAAAATCATCTAAAGCAAATTTACATCCAAATCTCCTGAGTTTTAGCATGAAAGAGGATATTTGGGCATAATTATTATTAAAAGTAGTTTCAGTAATTTCAATGATCAGCCTTTCTGCTACATCATAAGCTTGTAATAGTTTTTCTGCTATTGCTAACAATGGAGGATCTAATATACCGATATTAGAAATATTTACTGCTAACCTTAAATCCTTATTGACTACTAGCTCTTGCACAGCCATTTCTAATACTATTTGGTCTATTATAAAGATTAAACCTTTCTTTTCGGCTTCTGGAATCAGGCTCCCTACCGAAATTAAATTATTGTTGGCATCAGGAATTCGCAGTAAACATTCATAATAACTAATGCCCATTGTTTTACGATCAATCACAGGCTGATAAGCAAAGACCATATTTTTATTTAATAATGCCTTCCTCAAAAGATTAAGTTGTCTATTAGCTCCTTTCACATATTCTATATTATATTGCTTATTATCATATTCCCGGTAATACAATTGATCCCCCTGATAGGACAGCAACCAATTTAATATCCTATATATTGTTTGGGCTTCTCTACCGATTTTAGGAAATGCCATACTAGCAATACCACAATTTATATAAAATTCTGCCTGAGAATTTTCAACATAGAGTTGGGACAATAAATGGATTTTTAGGGCAACCTCACGCACTAGTTGCGGTTTTTTTATAGGTAAAACTAGTAATAGTGTGTTGCTTACTATTGTCTTGTATATTGGAATGTTTACGTTAGGTTTCGCAGTGGTTTCATTGGGTAATGATGTTAAGACTGCTAAATATGAATCTATACTCCTATCACTTATAGCTCGAAAACACTTGTCTGATTTATCGCTAGTAATTAACTCCCCACATACTTCTTGAATAATTTGATCTAAAATACTAATCGCCTTAATATTAGAGTTAACTGTAGCATTTAATTCATCATAATTTAATAATTTAAACGCAACACAATAGCCTGCCTTTACTTCATCAATTTTTAACTGCAAGCTGCTTATTGTTGTTATACTTATTTTATCTTCTAATTCTAGCATAATCAATTTCAGTTACTGTTTACTAAATAGTAAAACTCTAATATAATGATACAAGTAAAAGTTTTAGATACATAAAGCTATGACCAGGATCAATAGAATAAAAAGTAAGTTAGATGTGTTAGAACCACATTATTGCGAGGTAGTTGATGAAAGCTCTAAACATTCAACTCATACGGACGGAGCGATAGAAAGTCATTTCCTTATTAAAATATCTGCTGATATTTTTTTAGGAAAACCTTTATTAACTCAGCATAGGATGATTAACGAGCTTCTAGCAGATGAACTAGCAAATGGGTTACATGCTCTAACTATTAATATAAAAAACTTAGAAACAATATAGTAATTTGATATGAAAGCAAATTATTTTTTAAAAGTAATATTAGGCACAGAGGCTATCTTCCAAAAAGCGGCTAATAATGCTATTGCACGAGGAAGCAAATTAGTTGAAGAGAAAATAGTTAAAGGTAATTATGTTACTAGAGAAGAATTCAAAGTAGTGCAAGCTATGGTAATAAAACTACAAAATGAATTACTGGAACTTAAGAAGCCTAACGAAGATTAAGAAGCTTAGACAAAAAACAGAGCTTATATACTTTAAAAATAGAAGAAATCGCTACTTTTTGATAAGTGTAGAAATTGAAGGAGCATATATTTTATTATAAAGATTTCACCTTAAAGCTATGTCGATGATAGGGAGAAAGGCCATATATCCTAATAGCTTCCAAATGTTCTTTGGTACCATATCCCGCATTTTTATGCCACATATAGTGAGGAAACTCTTTAGAATATTCACACATTAAGCGATCTCTAGTGACCTTAGCTACAATCGATGCAGCGCTTATAGAAAGTGATAGATTATCTCCGTTTATTATACTAATAAATCGCAAATCCTCAAATTTCATATTACCATCTATTATGACGGTAGCAGGGGGAGTTGCTAAGTTGGCCACAGCAATAATACAGGCTTTTTTAGCCGCTTCTAAAATATTAATAGCATCTATCTCGTCTTGATGAACTATTCCAATCGACCAAATATAATGTTGAGTGATTTTATCATAGAGTAATTCACGCGTTTTTTTGCTTAATTTTTTAGAATCTTTTATCCCCTCTATAATGTTTGTTTGGTCAATAATAACTGCCGCAGCTACTACTGGCCCTACTAAAGGTCCTCTACCTGCTTCATCTACTCCAACTACTGGTGCCAAATATTTTTGTTCTAATTTAAACATTCTGTTTACACCTTAATAATTGAATTTGGGCTAGACAAGCCGCTACTGCTGTTTCAGTTCTAAGAACCGATGCACCTAAGCTTATTGAATAGCAGTTATCAGTTGAGTCAAGTAGCTTTAATTCACTATCAGAATACCCTCCTTCTGGCCCTATTATCAGAACTACACGTACAGGAAGCGTTTTCATAAACCTTAATAAAGTGTTATTGTCATCTTCATTTTCGTTAGCATATAATATAAAATTATTATAATATCTTTTAAGGAATAGTGGAAGTGACATTGCTGGTTCAAGGGTTGGAGGTGCCAAACGTTCAGATTGCTGCGTATATTCTATAATACATTTTGATAATTTTTGATTATTAATATTACCTGATTGAACCCGCTGTGTTATTAGGGGTACGATTTGAGTAACGCCAAGCTGCACCGCCATGCTTATTGCATCCAGCATCCTATCATTTTTAATAATAGAGAGGCCCAAAATAATTTCAGCCTCTAGTGGTATTGCTGTTCTAAAAATATTGGTAATTTGTGCTGATAAATTACTTTTGGTTATATTAATAATCTGTGCTATAAATTCCCCATCTTTATTATTAAAAATTCTAACACAATCACCTGCTCTGAGCCTTAATACTGTTTTATGATAATGTGCATTATCTTCGGGAAGTTCTAATAAGCGACTTTCAATTAGTTTAATATTAGCGTATATTCTAGGAATTTGAGAAAACTTCATAATTTTAGGTTATTTATGAATGAGAATGGGCAAAGTAATAATACAATAAAAGAGCAAAAAGAAAACCCAAAAGAAATAGGGGGTTTTAAAGGACAAGAGCCAACTATCCATGGTGATTGGCAACATAAAGGTAAAGTAACTGATTTTTAAAAACCATTAATAATATCTCTTGAATGCCAAGTTGTTATCAAGTAAAAATACTACCTTATGTACCACAAGAACTATTTTATTTAGTACTTGATATTCAGTCACACCCTAAATTTTTGCCTTGGTGTAAAGCTGCTAGAATTCTTTCTGAAACAGACAATCAAATTATAGCAGAATTAGTAATACAATTAAAAGGCTTCTCAGATAGCTATCAATCTCGGGTTACCTATACTAATAATTTTATTTATTCAATTGCGGTAGAAGCAATTTCAGGCCCATTTCAGTATTTAAAGAACTCATGGAAATTCTCTCAAATAGATACTGGTACGCAAATAGAGTTCTTCATTGATTTTCGCATGAAGTATGCGCTAGTGAACAGATTAGTTGAGATGTTCTTCAGCGAGGCGACTCAAAAAATAGTTAACGCTTTTGAGGAAAGAGCCCAAATTCTATTAAATCCTATAATATAACAAATTTTATTTACATGACTAACGAAAATTCTCTGTTAATAATTGATGGTTACGGTTTTATATTCAGAGCATATCATGTTCAACCGCCTTTAAACTCGCCACAAGGAGTACCTATTGGAGCAGTGTATGGCTTTACTTCCATGCTGTTAAAAATATTAAATGATTTTAAACCTAAGTATGCGGTAGTAGTTTTTGATTGTGGAGGCAAGAATTTTCGGCATAAAATTTATGAGCCATATAAAGCACATAGACCTACTCCTACGCAGGATTTAATTGATCAATTGCCTCTGGTGCGTCTAGCAGCAGCGAGCTTAAATTTTACTATAATTGAGAAAGAAGGGTATGAAGCAGATGATATCATTGCAACTTTAGCTTATAAGGCTACTGCTGCTTCTAAAGATACTATCATTATTTCGTCAGATAAAGATTTAATGCAGTTAATTAATCTTCATACTAAAATGTATGATCCTATGAAAGGAAAATATATCTCCGAGAAAGCAGTAGTAGAAAAATTTGGGGTTGAGCCTAACAAGCTAAGAGAAGTGATGGCGTTAATTGGGGACAAATCAGATAATATTCCAGTAGCCCCTGGCATTGGCCCTAAGACTGCCGCTTTCCTTATAAAACAATTTGGTTCTGTAGAAGCAGTTTTAAGATCCTTGAATCAAATAACTAATACTCGTCAAAGGGAAATTTTAACGCATTCCCAAGAATTGATTTTACTATCATGGCAACTAGTAGGCTTAGAACACAATGTTGATATAGAATTTAATCTTAATCAATTTTCTTGGACCTCTCCTAGCAGTGCAAAAATCTCTAATTTTTTAATCGAATATGGCTTTAAATCCTTATATCAAAGAGTAGAAAACTTATTTCAAATACAAATCCCTAAAGTAGCTTTATATACAGCTAATGAAGAAATAAAATTTGAAATTCAGGAAATTCTCCTACCAGAGGAATTGGATGATATGTTGACTGAAGCTGCAAGAGTTGGGGTTATAGGTATTTATTTATCAACTCACCAAACACACCAACCTTCATACCTATTATTGTCGATTGCTAATAAATGCTATCAACTTAAATTTGCCTCAACACAAAACAGCAAGATGCCTGAGTCACACTCCGATAATTTAAATAATTCCCCTCAATGGTTTATGGCTGCTATAATTAATTTATTAAAAGATAAATCCATTAAAAAAATTACTTATAGATTAAAAACATTGTTAAAATTCTTTCATAATATTTCAGAACAAATCGCCTCAGTGGAAGATTTAGAATTAATGCAATACACAATATCTGCAGGTAAGCCACAAAAAGATTTATTAGACGAACCAAAAACAGCGGGATTAGAAAATACAATAGCAAAAATTGTAGGTAATTTTAGTGGACATTACCAAAAATTATTGCTGGAGCTAAAAGATAACCGTGCATTAGCTCTATATAAAGAGATTGATTTACCTTTATGTTATCTACTCGATAAAATGGAAAAAATAGGGATTAAGTTAGAGGCCAGCTATCTTCAAAAATTATCCAATGAGTTTGGTAGTGAAATTGCTAATCTAGAACAAGAAATTTTTGCTATTACAGCTACTCAATTCAATATTGCTTCCCCCAAACAATTAGGTGAAGTATTATTCGAAAAGATGCAATTACCGTTTGGTAAATTATCGCCTAAAACAAAATCATATTCTACCGGTGTAGAAATTTTAGAAAAGCTTAGTGATACAGGCTTTAAGGTAGCTGATTTATTGCTCAGGTGGCGACAGCTAACCAAATTAAAAAATACTTATACTGACAGCTTGCCTCTACAAGTAAATCCAACTAGCGGCAGGATACATACAACATTTTTACAAACTTCTACTACTACGGGTAGATTGAGTTCACAAGATCCTAATTTGCAGAATGTTCCCATTCGCTCTCTTGAAGGGAATAATATTAGAAAAGCTTTTATTGCAGAAGCGGGGCATAAATTAATCTCAGCAGATTATTCACAGATAGAGCTTCGCATTTTAAGCGATATAGCAAACATTCCGTCATTAAAGCAAGCTTTTATTGAAGGCAGAGATATTCATAGTAAAACAGCGTGTAATATATTTAAAGTAGCAGAGGAGGATTTAACAGCTGAGCATCGACGTAAAGCAAAAGCAATAAATTTTGGGATTATTTATGGTATTAGTGCTTTTGGATTAGCAAAACAGTTAAGTATTACAGGCACCCAAGCTACCGAATATATTAAAAAATATTTTCACGAATACCCAGAAATTCAAAAATATATGGAATATACCAAAAACTATGCCAAGGAACATGGATATGTTATGAACCTTTTTGGGCGGAAATGTTTTGTTCCTTTAATATCAGAAAAAAATTATACGCTACAGCAAATTGCAGAAAGAGCAGCAATTAATGCCCCAATTCAAGGCACCAATGCTGATATAATCAAAATTGCTATGATTGAGTTAAATCACGACCTAAAACAACTACAATTAAAAACTAAATTAATTCTGCAAATTCATGATGAATTACTGTTTGAGGCGCCTATTAATGAAATAGAAATAGTTACGAAAGTTATTAAAAGCACTATGGAAAAGGTACCCAGGTTAACTATTCCAATTATTGTAGAGATTAAAATAGGCAATAATTGGTTTGATATGCATTAGACTTCCTGCATAAGTCAACCTAGTCGTAATTTTGTCGTCAAAACTTGCCGCTGCTCCTCGCGTACGTCCATGTACAGCATATTAGACTAAGGTACAGACATTAATAAAAAATATGTTATAAGAGAAAAAATAATAAATAAGAAACTTATGCCATCACCTTATCCGTATGCACTAAGAACAAGGGTTATAGCAGCTTTGGAAGCAAAAATGACAGTCTCCAAGATAATGGAACTATTTAAGATTTGTAGAGATACTGTTTATAAATGGAAAAATATTAAAGAAAATACAGGCGATGTTAAAGCAAAAACTGGCTATCAAAATGGTTATAGTCGTAAAATAATAAAAGATGAAAGGCAGTTTTTAAACTTTGTAATAACTAATGAGGGTAAAAGTTTGAAAGAATTGGCATTGCTAATGCCAAATAAAATATCAACAGCAACATTAAGCTGCTACTTAAAAAAGTTGAATCATACATATAAAAAAAACCTTTTGTCATCCGAAAAGAGATCATCAGGCACGAGAAATTTTTCAAGAAGAGGTCGCAAAAATTCCTAAAGGAAAATTAGTATTTCTTGATGAATCTGGGATAGAGGATAATGCGTGCCCTCTATACGGTTGGAGTTTAAAGGGCCAGAGATGTTATGGAATCAAAGCTTATCAACATAAAAAAAGAGTCAGTATGATTGCTGGGTTATGTGATGGAAAAATTATCGCTCCAGTAATTTTTGAAGGAACATGTAATAAGGCATTTTTTGAATCTTATATTGCAACTATGTTAATAAAAGAATTACTACCAGGTCAAATAGTTGTAATGGACAATATTAACTTTCATAAAACAGCTAAGGTAAAAGAACTAATAAAAGCAGTTGGTT